CACTGGATGAGGTTAGTTTTGCAGATATTAAGCAGGCAAATTCACACTCTCCCACAACCTGGACAGGTGGCAATTGATGAGTTCCTTAGAAATGAAACATATATTGTTTGTGTAATAGTGTAATATAGCTAATTTTTATGAAATCTAATATGCCAAAATCCTGAGCTGACATGAATCAGTGAAGTTGTGCTGGTTAATGTGAGCTGAAAATGAGACATTGTGTCTCAAATACTGTTTGGTTGTAACTTTTGGAATAATTGGTATATACCTTTATGAATGACAAGCTTCTCAAAATATGTATACTTTGGTCAGTGTTTGGTAATAGGGGTGGCTTGAGTGATGAGGATTTTATTGAACTGGGAAAATGTTTTCTGTGACCATTATTAATATATGTACTTCTTTGTTGAATTTGCTTTTCTTTCTATTACAAATTCTAAAGGCTATTGACTTGTACTGTGAGTCTTTTCCACCCTGTTCTTTATTGCAATCTCTCAGACACATATTTGAGGTAGGAATAATATTTTTAATGAGTAAATTCATAAAACCACATAATGGAATTCTTACTTAACGCAGGCAAAATTGGAGATACAGTACATGGGCTATAAGCCAGGCCACTACTTTAATATTTTGTCTTCCAAGAAATTCGGCTTTAGCATGTGTGATTTCCCAGGTCTCAGTGACAAGATAACAGACATTTGTAGTTCTTAATTATTTGTAAACCATATTAATGATACTTAGAAAGCACAGTTATTAGGAAAGAATTAAAGAATAACAGTCCATCTGTATTACTACAGTTTGTGAACAAGATGTTTCAATAGAAGAGTTTCTGAGATACTATTTTAAATTTGGTGACGACATTTACATATGTACTTGTGTATTATATTTAAGGAGTTTTTTTTTTATGATTGTTTTTTCAGTGCAGTTTAAGGGAAATAACAGTTCCCTTCAGTATGTCATAATGAATCAGATTTAACATGATGCCATTTCAAAAGTGGTCCAAAAGAAGGAAAAGGTGCGATATTAACTGATTATAGAAGGACATGCTATATACTGCAATACAGATTGACTACAATAGTATGTTTATTATGGATGATTCAAAGACTTACCTTCTAAAACACATAAGAAGAAAAAGAAAAATAGTAAAATCATTGCTATATATTATGCCTATTGAAATAACATATATTTGCTTCGTATATATGTACTTCCACTAGCCCAGTGGAAGAAGAAAATGTGCAAAGCACTCTTAGGTGAGCTATTCCAAATGAAATTACATTTTTGCATACAGTTACAGTTTAACTACAATAAATACCCTGATAATTGATATTAATATACTCATTAATATTCTCTTTGCTGGTAAATATGAAATAATGCCAAACTTCCTTGTTAACAAGAAGCTTGCAGTGAAGATGACCACCAATAAAACTATCTATCTCTAAGTGTTCAAGATATGGTCATATAAGACCATATTCAGATTGTCAGCATAATCAAGATTGTGATATAAGAAAGAAATTCTTGTAGGATAAGGTCAGGGTCAATTAGGATATAAGTCTTCAGTGTGTTGCATACAGGGGGTTCACTGCTCTTCACAGAGGTCCTTTGGCTTCATTGGGGCTCAGACCAGAAATGGATAGGAAGTAGGAAATGGATGGGTCCCTGCAGGTGTGGTATAGTGCCAAGACATGTTTTAGAATTAAATCCATCCAGGGCTGATGACTGCCATAGGACAAGTACATTATCTAAAACTTCCAGACAGAGCTCTAAATAATGCATTTGTGCTATGCTAGCCTTTCATACAGGGGAAAATGTAATGACTTGGAATGTAAAAAATATGTCATGGCTCATTCACTTGCACAGAAGCAACTAATTTTGGCTAAGTTTCTAAGTCCATCTCTTTAGAATGGACAGAAATCACAATTATTTTCACCAGTCATTTTTATGTTGACCATAACGAGTCTGGTCTTGTGAGGTGCTGACATACATTGTCATGCTCATTGTCAATGAGCAGCTGATGAGGCTACTGATTGTCTTACGTGAATCACTTTTACTCATCTGAAGCAATAGAATCTGATTAAAAGAAATCAGTAATGCAGAGTTAAACATCATTATGCTTTCACTTTTGCAATGAGTTGTTTTGCAAACCTTACCTAAAATGTACTTCGGAGTGGCAGTAAAAGCAAAATTAATTTGAGGAGGCAGCAGATATTTCCCAATTTTTTCATCGGTATTAATTTAACCTAAATTCTAAAGACTAACACTCTTCCCTCCCCCCAAAGAAGAACAAGAGATTAATTTTTTAAAATTATTGCTATATTTAGCAGCTCATAACATCACAAACATGCACATTTCTGTGATTTAGGTTTAATACAAATATTTCAAAATATGAGATCTTAAAAATGCTCTCCATTTTTATTACAGGCCTATTCAATAAAATATATACCTTTGGTATAATATGTTTTATTGCATATAGCAAACCATTTTCATTATCATAAAAAATATATTTTAGCACTTGTGAATTACAGGGGACTTTAATTCCTCAGGTAATCCACAATACTGGATACAGTATCTTGAACCGTCTCATAAATATATAGATATGATAAACATGTACATTTTCTGTTGGAAATGCCAAGTGAAAGATCTTTGATAATTCTAAATTTACTAATGATTAAGCTATTTAATCTATCTTTATGCTACTTTATTAGATGCATCATAAGACATTATTTTCATTGAAAATATGCTTTAAATAAGGCAAGTTTTATAAGAATTTAAATAGTGTTTTTTCTTACATGAAAAACTTCTTAAGAGGTGGTCGTGCCTCCCTTGCTATTCCGAAATCACTACACACAAAGCAATAAAATTACAGAGCTAAGCATCCTCCAAGGATGAAATCACAGTGAAGAAAGCTGTGATACACTTTATGCTGTTAATCATGTTGTATCATATCACATCATATGATGATACCACAACAGAAGAGAGCTGGTTATTTACACAGTGGTTCTGACTGGCAAATGTAAACAAAGATGAGTCAAGCACCTCAGCAATGCATTGACTTGCCAGCTCATCTCCAGGGTTTTACACTGTTGTTCATTACTTCTGTTGTCAACTTGACACGAGGCACCTATTTTTAAGGTAAGAAACTGGTCAGTGAACAAAGCTCAGTGGGGTTTCAAGTAAATATGAAGGTTCCCTTTTAGTTCATTATTTAGTCAAGGGTACACTAATCTATGATCCAAGAAAGATGAAATGCTGTTAGATTTTGCCCTGGTTTCAGCTGGGATAGAGTTAATTTTAGTTATTTAGAGTTAAACCATGACAGATTTGTATGTAGTTTAAGGAATTATGTAACATAGAGTGACTGTTGGTTTCTAAGATATATAAGCCCAAGAAAATCTCCCATACAGCAAGTAATAATTTAAATGAACTCTTTAGGTAAAGCCCATGTTTTAATATAGATTAACAGAAGTCTGATGGCTATTCAGAAACTCTTTGTCCAGTTGAAATAGTTGGAATTGGCTTGGAAAAGCTCAAGTGTACTTGAACATCAGCATAGATATGAACACCTGAGCATCAAAAGGGATGACAGTTGGAGCATCTTTCCAGAACCTAATGCTCCTTCTTTTTAAGGTCAATTTGAAGGTGAATCCTATTGTTGTGAATTGTTTTTCTCCACCAGAGGACTTCATTATAAACAGAGATTCACTGTTGCAGGAGGCAGACTGTCTAGCTATTCTTCCTCACTTCACATTATGCTTCCCCTCACTGAAGAGCTGCCTGCTGACAGTGGAAAGTCCACGTAGCAGGTCCTGTTCTGAGAGTCATATGTTCCTCCTTGTAGCAGGGTCAGAAGTAACATCTTCTCTTTTCTACTTTTTTAAAGGTGTCTAATTGTTCTAGGTTGTTACACAGTTCATCATTGTGGTAAACACCTAATTATTATTTTGAAAAGCTTATCTGTGGCAGATTACAAAATAACCTGTAGTCTCAGGCTATTCTCAGGAGAACAAGTTGAGAAAGATAGTAAATGCTCATCCTGTAAATATTTCTCATTTCCCAGGGTTTCATGAGGTTAAGATTCCACTAACCGAACAAAACAGTCATCCTCACCCACCGTCCCTCTTAAATACATTGATTGTCTTCTCACAGAGGTTTAGAACTTCTGTACTGTACACAAGTGAGAAATAATAGTCCTTCTTCACTTATGTTTCTAGGAGGTGTTTCCCTAGAAACTCCTCTGGGGCACTTGCCAATTTTGTGAATTTCTGTCTCTTCAGAAAGAATGGTGGTTTATATTTCTCTTCCCACCACTCCTACACCTTTTTTTGTGCCCAAACAGCTTGAACTTATGAATCATGGCTCTTTTCTTTCCTTGCTGTTTATCCTCCTGCCCTTGTAGCTTTGAAGATAATGAGTTGGGTATATTTCTCCTCCTAAGAGCTATTTTAAAATTGAGAAGTCAATTGAGAATGCCATTCCTAGGAGGGGTGGTGAAGTTTAATCTCAAAAAAATGAATAATCGTGTCCATGTTAGGAGCAAAGCAATATAGGTAGAGGTACTTATCAAAAATCCTAATGAATTTTCAATTACCTTGATTTCTCACTTCACATTTCCTAATATATTTCATAATGGTCTAATTTAATCTTTTAAAAGAAGTTCTCAGAGGTTTTAGAGTCAGGACCATAACCTGGCCAGAAGAAGCAGGCAGAAAGTGGTAGGAATAGTTTTGTGATTTCTTTTATTGAGCCAGGCAATGTGGATACTTCTGTTTCAATCTGTTTCTAGTTGTTTATCTCCATTTAAGGGAAAAAAAGTATCCATGCATAATTCTGTAATTCCCTCAAGCATATAATTGTGTTGTGTAACTTGAGTTCCCAAATACCATGCAAGGAATTTGATCAAAGTGCTTTCAGTGTAGAAGAGATATGTCACTATAATATTTAACAGTAGGTCTAAGAAAACAGATACTTTATTTGGATGCTGTTGAGTGACAACAAGATTCCTATTTTCAGACAGAGTCCACCTTCACTAGATTGTTGTTTGTAATCAGTGGAGAAGGTTTACTTTTCATCCTGTCTCCCACATCATTAGAACTATCCTGGAAAAAAACTTTTGCTGTACAAAAAGTGACAATAATTCTCTTGTATTCTCTTCTGAAGTTCTGGTTCAGGAGTCCATATATAATAGCATTAAGGCAGCTGTTGAAATATGCCATGTAATAACTAGATACAAACAACCACTCCGGAATCCGAGGGATTATAGTTTCTGGGTTGACAGCCACGGCAAGGCCTATAAAGTTCAAAGGAGCCCAGCAGACTGCAAACAGTACAAACACCACAAACATGGTTACAAAGTTTCTGAAGTCATGTGGTTTCAATCTGGGGTTGTTGTCTGGTTTAACCCTTCGCCTTACCTGAATAACGAGGATCCATATTCTCAAGTAACAGAAAGTAACTATGGCTATGGGAAGCAGGAAATGGAAAAACACAACTGCTATTGTATATGCTGAGCTCACAGACTGTGCAAATGTACATGAGTAAATCCTGGGGTCATACTGTAGCGATCCCACAAACAGGTTGGGCACGATAGCAACAACTGTTAGGACCCAGATAAGAACAACATAGCACAATGAATTCTTGTCGCTGTACAGCTTGTCATATTTGAGACTGTGGCAGATATAGCAGTACCGATTGATAGCGATGCCTGTAATATTGAAGATTGATCCAATGACACTTAGGCCCATCAAGAAGCCACTAATCTGGCAGTGAAGGTATCCCAGATTCCATCCGTTGTGAAATACAGATGTGAGGACCAGTGGATATGGGTAGATTGCTACAACCAAGTCTGCAACTGCCAGGCTTACAACAAACACATTTCCTGTAAAATAAATATAAAAAGGCAAGTATTAGTTTTTCTTTGATGCTTTTCTGACACTTCTGCTCTCAATATATTAATGAGCAGCCTCAGTGGAAAACTTTAAATGTAATTAGTTTCTACTTTCTAGGTCAAAATTCATTGTCATATATCAGAAATAAGACACTCATTTTTAATCTAAAAAGGAAGTAGTTTAACTTGAAGATGCACCTTTCAAAAGAAAACTGTCTTTGAGTTTAATTACCATGACCTAATATTTTTATCATCTCATTTATTTGGAGTCTTCCAATCACATATACTCAAAATTCATATAAAATCAAAATATTCATAACTTGAAACTTTGCTTTAATTTTAAATAGTGTGTCTTGAAAAATCAGCAGAAATAACATGATTACTAATAAATTTCAAAACTCACATTTATCTTCCATATTTACTTTAATTCCCTTTCCTTACATTACCCCTTAACTTTTCCAGTCCTGAAATGAAAAATTTTTTTCCCATTTGTATTTCAAGCTTTCATGACTTTAATGTGACTTTTACAGTGACTCTTTTTGAATCTGCTGGCTAACACTTAGCTAAACTTAATTTCTAAGAGTCTAGCTGAACACAAACTTAGTTGTCTTTCCTAAATTGAGAGATATACTCTTCAGTAAAAGAAGTGGTGCTGGGCAGTGACCTAGACAGTTCCCAGACACTGTTGATGCCACATTATTCTCTGCCTCCAGACTGGAAAATTAAGCAATTCTCTTGGTTCAATTTTTAATTAAAACAAAGGGAGGTTATTTTAGAATGTGTTAGTTCTGCTAGAACCCCTCTCTGTTCTTCAAAGACAATGGAACCCATCATTACTGCATGTTTTGAATTAATCTCTTGAGCATAGATTATATATTCTTTTTTTAGTTGCTTAAATTATAACTCCTCTGAATGCCTCCCAGCCATTCTAGTTTCTAAGAAGAAGGTCACAATATACATTGATACAGCTTTTATTCAGTTTTAAAAAATAACTACTACATCAGTTGGTCTAGTTATTCATGTCTGTAACTACAGAAAGTTATAAATGTGTACGTACACATGCGTGTGTGTAGGTATATAATTGCATGTGCATGCAGGTATACACAAGTATCTGTGTGTTTGAGATTATATTTTGAAATTGTGAGGTTATTCACTGAAGATGAAATATGAGCTCCTATTGCAACCTGCAAGAAAATATATTGCTAGTTTTAGATGACATAGAATTTCATTATTAACCCAAAGTGGGCTTGGTGAACTGTTTATGCATTTATTTTGAGCAGACAAAATACAAATAGATAAAAATAGGTTAAAAGAAAAAGTAAAAGTATCTATGGAGCAATAGAGCATTTTAGCTGCTATAATTCTCAAAACTATTTTTTTATTGTATTATCTCAAACATCTTAAAATGCATATTCTCTCACTAATCTTATGGTTTAAATGGCCAGGTAGAAATACTAAATCTGCAGACACCTACAGAGAAAACCATAGAAATTATCTGGCTCAGGATGCTACTTATTCTCTTTTGTTTGAATTTTGATACATGCATGAAGTACCACATTTGATATTTATACTAATAGCAGCTGAGACAACTGCCCTCAGTTAAAAGATTGCTACACTAGTTTTCATAGATTTTGTATCTGGATTTATAAATAACTCTCTTGATGGTGTCTGTTATTGTTTCTTCTTTTGCCCGGGAATTCACTGCCAGACTGAAATATGCTTATCCTGAAGGCTTTGGCAGAATTCCAGATCATTTCAACGCAAACAGCAGACCTCCTTTAAGCAGAAGACAACAAGGGAAAAAAACATTGTTTTCAGAATTTACCCTTGATACAGTGGCCAGTGATACAAGAATGGGTAAAGAGACTGTATGAAACTCAAAGCTCTGTGTTTATCTTATGAATCAAGAAGTGGAAAGTGAATGAAAAGTTGCTGTTGGCAGGTTTTTTTTCCCCACCCAGAATATTGCAGGTTTGATGAAATGTAACCACAAAGAACCAGGACACTTATTTAAATGTAATACTTAAAAGAATGCTATTTATATTTGCTTATAACTTTTCTGCTTAGCTGGAAACTGCCCATCCCAAGCTTCTCTCTCTGCCATCCACTGAAACTTCTGCTGGTGCTCTCCATTAATATTGATAATATTATCATTATTCACCCACTTGAGTCAAAAGATTCAGCTAAAGAACAAAGCTAAAAGTGTGTGGGGTTCTTCCCTTTGTTGAAAGAACACAAGCGGTATACTTTTCTCTGAATAGTTTTAGCAACCCTGTGCTTTGGAAACAACTGAGTCTAGGAAGAGTAGGTGCTCTGTCTCTGAATCAGCCGAATTTCAGGCTTCCACAAGCTGGTGTGCCATGGTTGTCCCAGCTTAGCTTCTCAGTCGTCTGCTGTAGAGTAACAAACTGAAAGTCTTGGAAATACAAGCTGTTTCATATGGAAACTGGAGGCCAGCAGGATACCCTGGGAGCCTGTCTTTTTAAAAAAATGAGCTTGGAAACCAAGTCCCAGGCTGCCAGCTCAAGGTTAGCATGTCAGCTGGATGACCAAAGAATCGGGCCAGAAACTGCCAGGAAACTGGATACCTGCTTGCAGAGAGGACTTTTAACCTGTCTTTCAGGAAGGGTTATCTTCAAACTTGAGTTCAGATACATTTTCTTTGTGAGAACAGAAACTTTCTCATTAAGATAAAACAGAAAATTCAAATAAAAAAATATTTGGGATTAGTATGTTTGTTGTATATTTTGAGGTTCTTTGTTTCAGACTCTGAACTAGGATCTGAAACGATGTTGAGCTTCCATGTGTTATATAATAAACAATTTAAAGATAAAATCCTAGATTTAGGAACCCACCATTAGTGGAAAACATTGATATTTTATGAAATTCCCATATATTTAATGGCATATTGTGAAATTAAACTCTTATGTTTGTGGAACACTTGGTATTGTACAAGCAAGTACCATGAAAAAAAGATACAGAAAAAATTAATTTTTATCTTCAGAGTTGGGTTTAAACAGAATGCTATAAATGAAGCCTGAAGCTCCATATTGAACCCTTTAAAAAGCCACAAAATCAAAATCTTGAATAACTCCTCCTTGAACAAAAAGTATTCATTCTCTTTAGAGAGTGACATCATGTTGCTGTGAAAAAATGTGATTTATGTAACTAAAGAATACATTACTGGGCATTAACACCAGTTGGCTGAACTGAGAAGGTAGAGGTTGAATTTCTTGACTTTGACATAAGTCAAATAAACTTTAATAACTTTAAGCAGATTTTGTGCTACAGATGTATGTGGGAAGAAAGATAATCTACTGGTAACCAGCTTTAGCAGGCTATGCTTTTTGATGCAGTCTAAAGTAATGTTCCATTAAATATTTTCACCACCCTTCCTGAAAAAGACACCCTTCTGCTCATCAAACACATACCAACATCAGACCTACCTGCTAAATAAAAAAACTGCATTAAAGCAACAGAAAACAAACAAGTGCTCTCCAGGACAATTTGACTTTTCCAAGAGCAAAATACAACACAAACTGAGTGTACAAACTGTGAACCTGACAGATAATAAAAAAAGTTGCTTATGGGATTAATTGTCATGATGTCAAAATGAATACAAGAGCATCAAATAAGAACTACATGATGTAATTGTATCAGTAGCAACTTGTATCTGTATAACATATACAAATTACTATGTGGGTTGTTATTCCCTAGATTTAGTGCTAAGTATGTCCTGTAGTTAATGGAAATGAGATTGCTATGAATTTAGATCAGGTTTTCTAGAAGTTGTGATGTATTCAAGTACCATATTGCAAAGATTGTTATGTCCACAGTTTAAAAATATTTAATGGCACCAAAGTCTTTATTTACATTTTAAAGCACTGATTTCTGATCACTCTAATATTTCTACTGATTTTCTTCAAGGATAGCTTACAGATTTTTTTTTCTTTTTTAGCATTTTGAAATGTTTCTCATTAATCCAGCCCTTGCTAAGAATGTTAATCTGGGGTTTTGTGCTGCTATCTGAAAACAAGACTAAGATTAGGTGCACGCCAGTGAATGCCTGCAGCTGTAGAAAATTTACATGTGGTACCTCATAATTATAACCAAGCACAGCATCATACTGACACATTTATATCTAGCAAAAGTGACAGCATTGATAGGTAGCTGGCAAAACACCTGGTTTAGAAAACTAGTAACTCCCCTTCACAGCTGAATGGTAGGAGTGAATAAGTCTCTGATTCCAGAATATAAGACACTACATGAAATAAGGCAATAGGCTAGTTTATGAAGAAAGCAAAATTAGGAAGGCTAAGCATAATGTTCAATACGGTATGCTTCATTTTGTCACTAAGAGCTGAACTTCTTCCTTAGAAAGACACTTCATTAGGCCTCTGCTTCTCTCATGGCTGTTTCCATGCACAAAATGGTGTCTCAATGACAAATATTAACACTAGATTTTTTCATATTCCATGAACATTTTTGCCCTGAATGTTGTTCCGTTAGCACTGGTATTTCACTTTTAAAACATCACAGACAACTACAAAATCAAGGAGTGAAAGCTGGTTTTATGAGTGCCTAATGCAAATTTAATAAAATACGCGTGTTCGTATATCTGGAGACAGAGCTTAGCTCTACAGGCTCAGTAATCCTTCTCCCTGGGACCGTAACCAGTCATAATGTTTCAAGAAAAAGAAGGCCTGTCCATAATCTTTCTAGGATCAATTTAATATTAGAAAGTTGCTGTACCTAGCAGCACAGTTTGGGATTCCACAAAGGTCATGTACAATAAAAATTATTAAATGAAAATACTTGTAAATGGGGTCAATGACCACTGTTTCTTAGGCAAAATCCCAAAGCCAAGTAAGGTTACCTAGACAGGCAAGCAAGCAGACAGTCCCAGCTTCACTGAGGAAAGATTTGAAAGGTTTAAGAAACTAACACTCCTTTGCAGCTCAGCATCAAAATGGCACAAAACAGCTGAGCAA